TGATCAGTTGATCACTCTCATCCCTTGCACTAAGCTAGGCTCTATTCCATTGCTAGTTCCCCGAGGTTCGTTGGTCTAAGGCCATCGAGCTTGCTGTTGTGATTGTTAACTGGACTACTGCCTCTGGTGTCCGAAGAACTGGTACTGCTACCGATTATATCCAGCGTATCGTGCCGGGTCAGAAGACTACCGCCACTATCACTTCTGGTAGCTTCAAGTTCCCCGAGAGCCCGATGACACCTATGATCATGGCTGGCCTTGGTACTGGTCTTGCTCCCTTCCGCGCCTTCTCTCAGGAGCGTGCTTGGATGAAGCGTCAGGGCATCCAGACTGGTCCCATGTGGCTCTTCTATGGTTGCCGTCACCAGAGTAAGGATTACATCTTCGGTAACGAGCTCGATGGTTTCGTTAAGGAGGGTGCCATCACTGAGCTTCATCCCGCATTCTCTCGTGACCAGAAGGAGAAGGTCTATGTGCAGAACAAGATCGATGATAACAGCTCTCGTGTCTATGAGGATCTCATTAAGAAGGGTGGTTACTTCTATCTTTGCGGACAGGCTGGTCAGGTTGAGAACGACATCAGGAGTGCCGTCTATCGCGCTATTTCAAAGGGTGAGAACGTCTCGATTGAGAAGGCTAAGGAGATATTCGAAGACCTTGCTGAAAACGACCGTTATTGCCCTGAAGTGTATTAAGCTAGTCTAAATCGCTTTTATCATACCGTTGTATGGTGCACTTCCGCCCTTCTTTAGGGCTGCTGGATATTCACTAGTCCTACAACTCGCATTTGTTGCTTATATCTCGTCGTTATCGAATGTTAGAGTATTTTCTCTATTACTAACTCTATAGGATTTGTGTTCCCAAGTTGGCGGAAGGTTCGTCAGATAATATCTTGCCTGGGATCACTAATTCTCACCAGCTTATATGATACGAATCACTGAGATTCCTCGCTTGAGGGAGAAGACAATTTACCATTGAGATAGTATATGCGGATGAAATATTCATTATGAGTACCATACTGTGAGCTATATACTTATGAGTGTCATCTTCTTGAGTGAATAACGCGTGTCACGTCTCAAGATCCTCGCTGTAAAGCATGGATTTTTCTCTCACCCATCTTTTCGCTGTGGAACTCTAGTCTGTTCGATCCTGATTGAGCCGTCGAAACCAGATGAATGCCTGTTGTACTTCTGTAGAAATAGTCATCCCCACTCATACTACACCAGTCGTAATGGTGTCCACCATAATCGAGAGTTGTCAACTTGGAACCCAATTGGCACTCCTCAATCCGCCATTCTCAATTAACTGCTCAAATCCAGCTCCTTGAGGTTGACAGAATGTTGCGGTCGATAATACCTTCCGGTAAGCGTTTCAGGGATGTGAAACTCGAAGGCAGAGATGGATATCTTGAGCTTGTGACGAAGCTGTGGAGCTCAGCGTAGGATTTTTCGTTTGGAATTTCTTCTGGCTAGGCTCATGATTGTCGCAGTTGTCTCATATACAGTCGAAGTCAACCTAAAGAGTTATGAAGTAAAGTGAGCTTGTGTTATTTCAGCTTACCGATTTTTCTATTTTTTGAGTTTTTGTTGTATGCTCTCGACATTGAATCATACTTCTCCGTGTTTGAGTGTCGTTACCAAGGGTGCTCTTGGAGCGTCGCGAAACGCTCTTGCTGCCTCCTTACCCCGACATTTCGCCGGTAAGGCTTCTCCTAGTGGTGGTGAATGGCAGACTATGGATGGTTGCACTGCTGTGTGCCATGTGTCTTATGCTATGATGGAAACCGCCTACATTTACCCTATTACCCCCTCGTCCCCTGCTGCTGAGCTTGCTGAGCAGTGGTCAGCGCTCGGTGTGAAGAATGTGTTCGGTGATATCCCCAAGATAACTCAGATGCAGTCTGAAGCCGGTGCTGCCGGTGCCCTCCACGGTG